CACTCATGTCCTAACACACACATCCTCTGCGAGATTGCGACTTCAGCTCAGCTGGTAGCTTTTCTCAACTTTCGCACAAGTGATTAGCAACTCCAATTCTTACGATTTATTATCTATTGCAAAGTGTCAGGGACTCTGAACAAGGTGCGCAACACCTCAACTTCGCAACTGCACTACATATCACTCATTCAATCCCCTCAGCCGCCGCATCTCGTCTCCCCGGCTCTCCAGACCTCCATACACCTTATCGTACTTACACCCTACTTTCTGAACAACTTAGTACTTCTTCGTCTTGTAGCCAGATACCCGCCTCCACGCTTGCAACCGCAGCCAAGCAAGATGTACCTGCCCTCAACAAATATCGTTCCTTCGGTCAAGAAGCAAGTTACAGAAATAAGTATGTTCCAGTGCCTCTCCAGGACAGCATCTTATATATCTTCCCTTACCTACTTGTTCCATCCCTTCGCGTCTTCCGCATCATCTGCACCTTCCTTCGGGTAAAGCCAAAGATATCAACGAGCGACTACCCAGCTCGAAACTATATCTTGATCACCCAAGACACGTTCGCTCGCACAGCCGCATTAACACACCTTAGCAACAACAGTACCTGCCATGGAAAACTCTTCAGACAACATGGGATCATCCCCATCCTTCGAGGAGAGCCCTCCATCGCTCAGTTCTGAGCGAGGCCCCAAGGCACGGGAGTGGTCCCAGTTCGAGCTCGACACGGTGTGCGCCCTAATCTGCAAGCACGAGCACCGTCGGACCTCCAAAGGACGCTCTCGGGGCTGCGGGGCCATGGGTATTAAGGACTCAGACGAAGAAGACTGGGCACTACAATTTGCCACAAAGTTGAATGAGGCTCTTCACGGTGTCAATAACTATCGGTACGATATTCCAGTCGCTGATGTGTGCGAACTCATGGGCTTCATCGAAACAAAGAATCAGCTTTTTATGGCGTATATCAGCAGACAGTCAACCCCGTTCCGAATCACACGCTCGAAGAAGTACGCCTTCCAGCGCCTATGCAGCGATTTTAATAATGCCTTCTACAAGTGGGCCGTCAAGCATCGGGAGAGACGTCAAAATACAAACATCGGTACCGATCAGGAGATATCCCGGCTCAATTCGTTCGACCGTGATTTGTCAAGCCCCAATGAAGGTGAATTTACGTCCTCGTCTGCTTCTTGATATTATATGGCCCCCTCATATTACCCAGCCGCTCGGGCCGTCGGACTAATGCTCGATACTTACCAGAATCTCATCTTCTCGGCGCTGCTCATATTCGGAATATTTTGGATGCGGGATTATCTGCCCCCACCGAAAGGGGCTGGATATCAAACTCCATATACGCTGAACGGAATCGCGAGGGCCCAAATAGTAGCACCTCTGGCTCGAACCCAAAGACCTACTCGCCTCGACGTCCTATCCTTCCAGCAAAGCCGACCCATCGGGGTCACCGGAACCAGCGCGGGATTATTCCTCCTCCGCCGCCGCCGCCCTCATTGCCCCAACCTACCCAGTATGAGCAGATAAACGTACAGCAATCCGACTTATATAACATTACGAGCTACGAGGGCACAAGTCCTGCTTACTATGGCCCCTTTGACCCAACCCTATCAGCTTCGCCTTATCCCCCAACCTCTCCGGCTTATTTCGGCCGTGCTGAACTGCGACAAAGTATTCATCCAATGGGCCCTAGGCCTGAGACGCCTATTGTTATGGCTTCACCTGCTTACCAATATTATTCCGAGCTGCAACAAAACATCTATCCGATGAATCATCAACTTGATGCTCCTGGATCTCTGACATCGCCGGTGCATGATAGCGTATCTAACCCGACTTTCATGGGTTATCAATACCCTGACCTAGCACAAGAGAATGGAAACTTCGACTACGGTAGTGTCCTTGAGACACCTGCTTCTCCATCGTCTCCAATGCACATTCCCGACGCAGTACCGGCTGAGATGATTGGCACCCAAACAATGGAAGAGCCCACTCCATACTCAGGCGAGCTCCTCGAGCAGCCCAACTTCAACCTCAACTCTTTCAACTGTGGCGAGTATTCTCTAAACTGCTGGCCCTGAAGAGCTCACTGGAATACGTTTCACTTGCACTCTTGCACGTATTCGTATATATCATTGCAATCGGATTTCCGTCCACCTCGCAGTCGCTGGCCGACGACAACAGCGAAGTAGGAGAAAGAAAAAAACTCAACAAGTATGAGGAGATGAACGCCAGTAACAAGACGAGCGCTGTTACCGTCAAGCTTCTCTTAAATTCGGAAACGGTAGTAAAAGAACCGAAAAGAATATGGGGGGGGGGGGAATGCAATCTCTTTGCGGCTCAGGGCTAACTGCCTGTTATATCGGCCCCTATTTCACTTGGAAATATGGGCAAAAACTATCCTGTCATACCAAATTTTTCTTTTCCTTTGCGCTTTGTTTGTTTTCTTTACCCAGCTCTATTCTATGCCAGCACAATAGCATCCCATCGCCGCGACAGGATCCACGATGAATAGGTATGTCAGCTTCCGCTAAGAAAGAGAGATGAAGGCGAACTAACACCTCCTAAGTCGTCCGAATGTGCAGGTTCTAACAGATATTTTCTGAATCAATCGCCCGCAATTTCTAAACGAAGGATCATACGAGATTTCTTCTTGTATTTTCTCCCTGATATTGCGCGCCAAATCGCGTTGACTAGCCGGTCTGGAAAGCCTCTTTGGCGCTCTTGCTTGATATTACTCAATACCAAACTCGACGGAGAAATGGAAGAGAACCCATGCCACGCCACGATTTCTCGTATCATATAGTAGCCGAAGAGGTCATTCTAGGAACCGAACCACGTTTTGGCGAAATTGTTTGTAACGACGCATACGAAGGAACAGGAGATGAGATATGGAAATGATTGCAAACATCTATAGTGACAGTTGCAAAAAGAAATCAGACATAAGGGGGAGAAAGACACGGACAGGCTCTGTTGCCGTAGAGTCCTTTCCCCGGTGTGGCGAGGTATGAAACGAGAAATACTCGACGATTTACTTACCCATGCTTCTTCTTGAATCTACCGTAAGCGGCAACGCGCGATATGTGAGGCCTGGCCATCCTAGTGCATCCTCCCAGAATACCATTTACTGGTTACCCTTCTGACAAAGTGGGCGGTTTGATTTCCTCATATGCCTAGACTTTCGAATGCTTCTCACCTATAGCTTCGTTACGACTCCAACTATAAGCACATGCAAGCAACTGCAGACAGTGGAGTCGCCCGAATTGACCACGTTTTTACTCTTACCAGTAGTGTATGTACCGGCATAGTGCTACTGTTCTGCTCCTTGACAGCACTATGTGGTTCTAGGCTCGCCCGGTTTCTTCGGGAGTATGGCGGACGAATAGTCATGGGGTTCACCTATACCTAGGTTAGTTTGCAGGAGAGGTGTGAGAATATCATCTATTATGGGGCAAAAGCATCGCGTGCTTGCGTGCCCCCTGAATCTGGACATAGGCAGCGTGTTGGAGCGACAGTCCCGTGTTTTGGGCACAACGCCCGACATCTCTAGATGATCTCTCCGTCATGTCCTTGCTCATATTATTGGTTTCCGCGAACAGATTACTGAAGGTAGTAAGTACAAGAGCGCCTTGGCCAAAGGTCATGCATGCAGGGAAACGGGTGTTAGTGCCTGTATCTGTTCTGATCTGACTTATCAAGTCCATTTCCGGTGATGTGTCAGTACCGGTCGCCGGGATCCAGGGAGGAGAGCAAACAGAATACCTAGCCAGTGGTTCTCCATCACCGGTCGGATACCCACCCAGATCCGCCGCCTCGGTAAATACGTTGTATCGCGGGTTAGCCCGGTCTCCTTTGCTGCGTTCTCTCCGCCCTATCATAGAACGGTACGTGTTTATACCTCGTGAATAAGTGGTAATGGCTACCAATCTATAATGCGCGCTATGACTCTCGAAATATCCAGTCCCGTGGATTGTATTTGCTGTAGTCATACGATATCACATCTCTGTATCGCCCCGTAGCGCGGGAGAAAGAGGCGGATCTTCCTGCAGGACTCCGGCAGTCTTTTCCCGACAAAACAAGTCCAGGCGTGAGCAGCTAATCTCCATGTCCGCCACTTCTCTGATGTCTCGCCCGCCTTGCTAATCCCTAAAACGCATCTGATGTTGGCCATGGAGGCAGTAGTGCAGAGCGTGAAAATGACTGGCCGTCCTTTGTTGTCTAGGTTGGTTATGTCACACCGCCTAGGGATATTTCTGTGGTCGACGGAGTGCACCCCCAATCGGTACTACACTATTCACGCTGACAATGGTAGTCTCATATCTCACCCATTGTGTTTAGTGGTAGGAGACGCTGCCTATCCTGGCCTATAAGACGAAGGTGGCACGAGACCGACGTGGCAAGGGCCGTGAGCGAATTCCAAGGCTTCGACGAGACCGTATGGTCAGACTTTCGCATTTAATATCCTTTGTTGAAAAATCCCTGGATAGAAACGAATAGGGAGTTCACCCGGTGCTCGAGCCCTTCACGCTCCCCATCCAACATGTACGTAGCGATCCTGCAGTGCACCTGTCCATCTACCGTACATACATCTACGGTGTTCTGGAGCATGAAGGGTATGCAGTTACACGGGGCGTGAACATGGAACATGGATGTTGTGCATGTAGAATAGTCATGTCATGTCATAAGCACCATTTGTATCCCCCGTATCACTTGCCTACGTACGTACCTACTTGACTATCAATATATAGGGCTACGCATATATGGGCACAGCCTGCACGCGTTGTAGCCTCGGCAGAGCTTTACATTGTATCTGATAGGGTCATGACCATCGATGCCCTTACATGCCCGCATGTTCCTATCTCTTACAGTACAACCCACCACTGGACCAAAGATTTTGGCTAAAATAGAAATAACAGAGAAAAGCCAAAAGGAAGTAGAACTTCAAAATGGGATTGGCTGCTACTCCTAGTGAATCCAAGAGGCATCAGTAATTCAGTCCGATGCGGGGGTCGAACCCGAGCGCACAATATTAGTATTCTTATAGTAATTTATATTTGAATAAGAAGCCTGAATTCTCGGCTACTCACCCGCAACCTTGAGGTTAAGAGTCTCACGCTCTACCGATTGAGCTAACCGGGCGAGGCCAAAGGGTAGATGGGGTTTCCCGGTCCCCAAGCCAGCTTTTCACTCACGATGGAGCCAAGAAGAAAGAAAGTTGGAGCTGTGTGCTCTTGGTTGGGAGACTACCTACACAGTACATACCTAATCAAGCCAAGAGAGTGGGATCTAACTGGTCCATGGGGTGGGAACTAATCCAGATAGTCTAAAGAATAACAACCAAAGCCTGCCACCCCAAGTGAAACCTTACAGTAAACATCCCTGATCCCGGTTTCCGACTTAAGAATTGGCTGGTTGAGCTTCTGTTGGATCGCACCGCTGCCGATCACTTACTCGTAAACAACAAATAGGGCGAACAGATCAACTAAGAACATGGAACGTAGTATGGAGATGGCAATAAAATCAAGGTAAATTACGTGAAACCGGAGAGGGCTACCTACATTCAATATTGATTTGAATGTCGGGAAACGGGCGCTCGTTTAATGCCCCGTCGGCGCAAACTACCATGTTAGTTAGGAGACAGTTTAAGCCACATCAAAAAGTGCATTTTATAATGGGGCAAGTGCCAATATTGGAGAAAATTTCAGGGTCTATTGTAGTACACAGAAGTGCAAATGGGCAAAGAGAAAATAATTGATATTATTGGTGTGCTGGGCCTGTGGTTCCTGTCTACTGACCGCGTAGCGACGAATTGCATGCTTCATAATACTAGGTTAGGTACTCGCATTATGTGAACAGTGGAGAAAGACCAGTATATCAATTTAAAAATTATTTTCATAACCGCTTAACTGAGTATCCAGTAGAAAGAAAGCAAATGAAGGGCTACCTGCGCAAAGCCTGTGTATCACCCAATAGTATGAGTTGACAGGGCTAGGACAAGTGACAAGATAGGCGAGTGTCCAAATACCCGACCAAGAAAACCAATATCTTGGGACTCGTATCCATAGCAATACGCATAGCCTGCTTGCCAGCCTAAACGCTTGGAACTTCCAACCGCCCTGTCCTGAAGTAAACTAGCTCCGCGATGATATCAGGATTCAGTTGGTTATTCCCACCCTTCGCTCTTGCTCGAGCCGGGGAGTCCCCGTATGCTCGCCTCGTCGTCGTCGTAGTAGGATATGTCGTTAACGACGACCTCGAAAGTTGGCATACCATCTATGGCCATCGTTTCGAACAGTAACGTGAGATCGTGAACGGCTTGCATCCCCTGCATTTCACACATCTCGCCAGCAACTAGGCACCTGCGCACATGTGCTACCAGGCCTGGCCTACTACCGTCCCTGTTGCTGGGGCCTGCAGCCCCCTTCATGCTGGGGCCCTCGCCAGTGAAGCTTTTAGAGTGCAGGCGCACGTCCGCTATGGCCGTGTCCTGCAGTGCCTGCATGGTTGGATGAACATGGGATATGATGCGGTGCTGGCCGTGGCCTACCCAGTGTACCGTAAGACAGACAGTGTAGATGCCCGAGTTGGGGTGGAAGCCAGTTGATGGCTGAAGTCGGCTAGTCCTATCACCGCTGCGTTTTAGGGCGTTGGCATCAAGGCCGGTTGGCATAGGTAGTCGGTTGCCCCCCTGACTCGCTGGGAAAGGAGCCCTGTCTATAGGGAGCCCAGGTAGACGAAAGCATGTGAGAGGTTGTGCCGGGGGCATCCGTGGGTTCATGCCATTCTGCGGACGAAGGGGATGGTGCGGGCCAGGCCCCATTCTTGCGGGATGGGGGTGTGGGAATGGGAGCACGGGTATGCCTCGCACTGAAGGTGGCGGAGCGGGAGGTCCATCCGATTTGAGGTGTGCAGGGTATCCAGGGGGTGGCGGCGGTGGCGCCTGTCTGAAGGCGAACGAGGGCGAACGAGACCGGGCAGGGCGGGCAACACGGGCGCGTGGGGGCGCTGGGTTTGGGTAGTCGGAAGAGCTTCGCACTGCTGCTCTTGAGTGCGAACCTCTCACTGGCTCGTGGGCACTAGCTGCTGCCGCGATTTGGTTTCCTAGGCGATCATCTGGATGTTGTGTATCCTTGGGCACTCTATTGGGGCTTGAGGCATCATCTAGCATCATCATGGTCTCATCACCAGAACTGCCCCATTCGGAAAGGGCAGCAGTGGAAGAGTCAGAGCGACCAGAGGTGACAGAGGCCGTATCGTCATCATCTATGCCGGGCTCCAGCACTGCGGTCTTGAGATTGAGATCGCGGGGAATCGAGAAACCATTTGTCGTGGTATAATTATGGATTGCCTCGCAGGACTTCGTGTGTAGAGATTCTATTGCCTTTTCGGCAGTCTCACATGGTTCTGACACCAGTATAACTTCACGAGTATCTTCACCGCATTTTATTGCGTACGCTTTGAAGAGCTTGTCCGCGGGATCTTTGCTGGTAATCACTTGGACGATGTCAAATTTGCTTATGAGGAACTCGCAATTATCTGGAATTGCCCAATCAGAGTTGGCCATGATCTTATGTCAGACAAAGTGGAATTACTGACCTATGATTTGTGTCCGACTATCAAAGACAAGAGTTGATGGGGCTAGTAATTGAGGGGCCATCGTGGTATCCGATAGGTGGTGAAGACAGGTGTGAGTTGGATTTGGAGGATCTTGGAGGAAGACAAGCATTGGGGAGGGAAAGTTGGGACAAATGCTTTAAATGATCATGGCCGGGGCTCCGGAGGCCAAACCTTATATACCTAGTGATTCGGGTGCGCAGTGATAATGGCCTCCTGCAGCCACGCTCCTTTTGTGCGTCAAAGCTTGGTGGCACCCATTGATTTGGCGAGGCTGGCAGGCATCTTACAAGACGTTGCCGGTCTGTAACCATTCCACTATACATATGCCTAGGCTCTTGGGACGTAACTCAAGCCCCGAGAACAGGATGTAAGAAAGCTAATGACCAAAGTAGGACACAGCATACGGGCATTGTCCAGACTGGATCCTGGCAACGTTTGACAACGCTTTCTCAAGTAAGACCTACTAGTATAGAAGGTGGTCTGACCCTGCACAGAGACAAATTGGTAGATTCAAAGTCGAAATAGTCACACAACCATACTCCAAAGTGACATCGGATAGGAACGGCTCAGTCGTTTGCAAGCCGCCAGGTATGTAGTAGCTATGTCTCACTGCAAACGCCCTTCGTCATAGAGGCCTAAAAGTGTATCGGCTTAGGTTCCTATAGAGCCGCGCGTCGAGGCAAAAAAGAAATGAGAAATCTGGGTGTCGGCTCCATGGAACTCTAGAGAATAGAAACCTAGAGGCAGGTGTAAAGGGACCTGCAGTGCATGTAGCCTACTTCCTCGGAGGCGGATGACATTCGGAGTAACTTTAAAAAGTGAGGCGAGCAGTTGGGGGTTCCGATTGTTGATAGCACACCCCTGGAATCCAATACAACTCATCTCGTCTCTCCCCACACCGCTAGCGACGGTGATTCTAGCAGCGAAGGCATCCCTTTAGAAGGGATGGCATATTTATATGTCCCTCCTTGGTGGCCGATATAACAAGGCGGATTTGACTTGTTGCACTTCTTTTAGTCTACGCTGTATGTAGTATGGTTTGCTGTATGTGCATCTGAGCAAAAGCCAATGAAGAGGACGGGTTACTCAGACGTCATAGGCCAATGAGGCGAGGCTGTAAGATGGCCGACACTATCGGCCGCACCAACATGTTGCACGACGCCACAATATCGTAATTGATTATAGGGACAATGGCGTACATTGAACCACTATGCAGCCCAGGCATTCGATGTAGAAGCACCACGGCGGTGTTTATGCTGACCACCTTCGAAAAATTGTTGAACATTACACTATTTTGACGACCAATCATCCTGCACTTGTGCTGACGCAAATGGGGTTATCGTTGTACAATCATACATTCCTTGATTAAGACGAGCCTTTAATGTTCTTTGGTGTGTTCTACCCAACCACGGCTAAGCGTTCCAGCCTTGACTTGACCGCCTCGACCAACGCTGTCTCTCGCTCTAGGAGACCCTTGACTTGACCGATCTTTGCGCGCCTAAGCTCTGACGGAATGCGCAGATCACCCCTTGAAGCACTTGAATTGTCCTCCTCTTCGCTGGCGGGTGCTTCGAATGCTTGAGCTTGCTCTACCAGCTCATCTTTTAGCACTGTAATCCTCCGATACCTGTCCATCAACTGTTTAGCCCGATTTTGCCGGTCTGCCGTTTGAGCCGATTCGTTGATGCCGACATTCAGAGCCTTGACCTCCGCGACCCAGTCCTGCTCCTTTTTGCTAAGCTCCCGGTTCGTAGCCTTATTGATCGTTTTTCTCATTTTTTCTAGACGCCGACTTAGAGCTTCTCCCTTTTCTTTAGCGGTTTGCAGCCGCCTCTCAATGGCGGCATTGCTTGACTCTGGTTCTTCGCCCTCCTCAACCTGATCTTCACATGTGATAGCTTCGACTCTTGCCTTAACTTCGTTCGCCTTGGTGATTTGCTGTTTCAGTTCATCTTGGAGCTTTACGCAGCGCAGGAACACTTCCGAAGCGGCAACCCCAAGCCTGTGTGTCTCGTCGCTAAGGACTTGGTGGGCCTCGGTGAATAGCTGCAAAGTAAGTGGTGAAAGTCGGATTTCCTGGTTCATGATCGTCTTGTAACGACTTGTGCGGAGTTTCTCGATGAACCCGGGGAGTGCTGAACTTTCGTCAAATGCATGAGATGGCTGATAAACGGGGCGGGGCTCAAAAAACTCTAGGGGTCGGACTTCGGCATCTTGACCGAAGGATGGTGAGGCGGATAGAATAGGGACGAAGTCTTCTTCAGGGCTATCAAATATTAGAGCAATTGGCTCGAATGGCGTGGCAGACAACAGGAAATAACCAAGGTCAGGGTCTCGGGTTGCAACTGCTGCACTCAATGGTAACTGCGAATTAGCCTGAGTTGAACTATTGTAGAGTCGTTCTCGCGTAGAAATTTGGCCATTGACGAGGAGATTAATCCTGAACTCAGAGCCCGCCTCCGAATCACCCTGAAGTTCGCTCTCGAGGCGGAAAACCCAGGGTGCCAGAGAAATATACGTTA